AAAAAAAAAAAAAAAAAAGAGCCCTTAACTGCCGGGGAAAGGGCAGAAAGCCCTGCTGCCTTAAGGCACAGGTGAAAACCCTAAAGTAATTGAAGTCTTGCTATGGATATCTTGACAAATACTACCATCTGGTATCAATAGTCAATCCTCATTATCCAAAAATGTTACATTTTCTAATTTGTCTACTTGCCAAATTTTATGTGTAGCCCCTAGATATATATTCATAGCACTTTCACAATCATTCGGGAATATGTGCAGAGAGGTACAAAATTTGAGTCCCTCAAAGAACATGTTTCTAAGGTAGAAAAAGGTGGTGCTCTGTCTTCACGTTCCAGCTCTCACACAGTAAACAAGCGTCCTTTTTGTAGTCTATATAGTGCCAACTTTTTCACATTTTTGTGTTGTTGGTTGGTGATTTCACAATCTTAAATGGCTCCCAAGTGTAATGCTTAAGTGTTTTCTCATTTTCCTAAGCATAAGAAGGCTTTGACATGCCTTACAGAGAAAAATGTGTGTGTTAGATAAGCTTTGTTATAGTTACATGGCTGTTGACAATGAATTCAATGTTAATAAATCAACAGTGCAGTACATGCAGGAAAAGGGGGAGGGAATTCACCCATCTGCAGGTGAGGTTGCTTGGGAAAGTAACATCTATAACGCTATGCTGAACATATGGGAAAATAGCTACATTTGTGGATTTATGAAATGACAACCATTTTTTTTAAGTATAGTGAACAGCAATGTTGTGAGGCTGAAAACCAAAGAAATTTATGATCATGTTAACCAAGGTCAGGAATATACTAAACACTTCTTAGATAGTGTTTATTATATGGAAATACTGCATATAATGAATTAATTATAAATATATACATATATAAAATAAGATGTCTTTAAACAGAAACACACATAAAACAAGCTTATGTATTCATCAGTTAACAAAAATGTTGTGAAAAAGCTCACAAGAACCTAACACCTGTATTTCTCTGGGAACAATGGCTAAGTGCTCACGAATCCAGTGTTTGCAGCAACTGCAGAGAATATAACTGTCGTGAATAATAAGAATGTGCACTACGATATTACTTGCGTTGATCTCACTTCAATCTTGAGGAGCAACACTCTTGTTCCCTTTTTTGATCATTTTCTCTTCAGTGACACACTTGTACTACATCTCAGGCATCACCACCATCAGTGCCTCACAAATTTTAGTGGACTTGTGAGTATCCTGCTGATTTTCCAAAATACAAATTATAATTCAGTAAATCTAAGGTGAGGCCCACATTCTACCTTTCTAACAAGCTCCAATGTGAGAACTCTGCTGCTTGTCCCTGAACCACTGAATGGTAAAGATATACATCCTGCCTTGCATACCTGCAACACTAATTTAACTCAAATAACTCTGTATAGTTGAATGATAGGAGTAGTAAGAGACAAAATTGTGTTTCTGCTCTGGAGCTCAGAGAACAAACTATAGAACTAGGAATGTGTAAAATTTCCTCCAAGCAAGAAGGCTTTTAACCAGAGGAGTATCAAATGTCTCAACTACTTCAAAAGCACCAGGAAGGAAAAGAATAAGAAAAAGACTACAAATTTGGCATAAATTCAACAAAGAGTTTTATTGAGAACATATTTCATGAAGGCAAGATCCTTCACCAGGTATGCATATATTAAAAACACACATGCTTTGCATTGAAGGAGAAGAAAAATTAGAAGGAAAAGGGGGACCTAAATAGCTGCAACGAAGGAGAGGAAGTGAGGAGTACAGTCAGCAAAGTACGGCTGAAATGTGGTGGGAGTTCAGACCAGGAAGAGTCCGTTTCCCACCTGTGAGTCAGGGAAGGCCCTCGGGAATAAGGGACATCTATAACAAGCCTGATGATCCATTAATAGTTGAACATGTGAATATTGCTAGGATCCCATTCCATTTGGAGATAAAATTTGAATTTTAAAGTCCCAGAACCCAGGTCAGAACAACAAATCCTGCAAAACTAAATTGAGCTTATATTGACAAATGATCATTAATCAGAAACAAGCAAAACTGACAAAAGTTTTCCAAGGAGAGTTGAGAGGACGTCATCACCATGATGTGTTCAGGTGTATCCTGAGCTGTTGAACTGCTGGTCTCTCACCCCAAAAGGAGAAGGGTGACAAGGAGGATCATGGTGTATCTTAACGGAAACTGGATGAAAACAGAGATAGAAGTCACTCTGAATAAGGTGGAGCTAAGAATTGAGGAGTAAGAGGGAAGGGGACTGGGGAGAGAAGAACTGAGGAGAGAGAAACAAAAACCATGGGAAGACAAGTGGGGTAGGGACTAAGAGTAGGAAAGACACATGCCAACAACTCACCAGCATTTCCTGAACCAAAGCACAAGACCTGTCAGAAGAAGCAAAGGCACTATCACCGCCAAGATGATCAAGCCCATGGAACTGTGATGTTCTGTGAATTTGGGGAGACACCAAGGATGTTATAATCCACCCCATTTTACCTCATCCACTCCCTGTTTCACTGAATTCCCTTGGCTTCTTTTTTTCATTTGAACATCCAACTTACCAATCTTCTTTGTTTGTTTTTCTCTCATCCCTGCTCAGAGATGGATTCTTCATCTTATCCTCAGCATCCTCCTGCATCTACAGTGCCCTCATTTTCAACACTTCCATTTCTTAGCTTACCTATTTTTATTCATGTTGTGGCTATAATCCCTAAAATCCTAAAATTTTCAGCTTGCCCTCCCTCTATGCCTGAAGACCACCTCTTGGCATTTCCAGCCTGGGCCCCAGCTCTTTCTCACCCCAGTAGAGGATGATGTCCTGGCCCTCTAGACTGCTGTGCTTCACCCGACAGGACAGGCCAGCTGCCTCCCCAGCGGCCACCTCCAGGGTTGCTCGGAGATACCATGTCTCGTCAGCATTGGGCAGGATGTCCCCTCGCTGAGTGCCCTGCTGCTCCTGCTCACCCCGCATCCACTTCACCCACACGGGCTTTGGGTAGAATCCTGAGACATGGCACACAAGCTGTAGATGGCCAGGTCCAGGACTGAGGCCACGGGACAGCCAGGCCTTGGGCTTCACTGCAAAGGACAGAAAACATATTCAAATACAGACTTGGAGTTTCATATCTCCCCAGTAGTTTAGAAGTTTAGATAGACACATCGTTCCCATTTCTCTTTTCTTTTCTTTTCTTTTTTTTTTTTTGAGACAGGGTCTCACTCTGTCACTATGCTGCAGTGCAGTGGCATAATTATAATCATAGCACACTGTAACCTCAAACTCTTGGGCTCAAGCTATCCTCCTGCCTCAGCCTCTTAAGTAACTGGGACTACAGGTGTGTGCTACCATGACTGGCTAACTTATTTTTATTTTTTAGAGATAGGGGTCTCACTATGTTGCTCAGGCTGGTCTGGGACTCCTGCCCTTAAGCAGTCCTACAGCCTCAGATTCCCAAAGCACTGGGATTCCAGATGTGGGCCACTGCACCCAGCCTTTCCCACTTCTGGGTGGCTCTTCCTTATTCCAAATTGGAAGGGGGTGGTGGAAAGGTGTGATTTTCAAATCAAAAGTTCTTGGAGGGAGGGTGCAGGACTGACCTTGCCTCTGGAGATGTGCCTTTCCTGCATCAAGAAGACCCAAGAGGAATCGTGGACAGGTGTCACTGAGGAGACTGTGTGTTATGTCATTTTGATGCTGATTCTGATTGAGCACTTTGCAGAAACGCTTGGCCATATTCCCAGCCACTGGAGATGGCAACCATGAATTGTTCTGGAAGCTCACAAAATCTGATCCTTGATAAGCCAACCTATGGAAGCTTCCTGAGAACTTTCCAGAGTGCAGTTCACAGCCTCCTGTCCACTGTATCTCAAAAGGATCTGGGGTTATGAAATATGGGAA